GGAGTGCACTTTTATTGTTGAAAATTAACCAAACTATTCACTCACATATATATACCTGTTTTAGTCGCCACTCGCCATATATTCACTCTCTTTATTGCATGTTTCTGTATACACCATTTATATCTTATTAATGCCATCAATTAATCTTCTTTAGAACACAGCTAATATCTTTTAAAATAAAAAGAAAAAATTAGCAACTCTCGAAGCAAAAATTTATTGCCAATTTATTACAATGAATGTAAGAAGAGGTAGTTTATGTATTTTCTTTTTCTCTAACCTTTAACTATATATTCGCTTAAATAATCCTTTGGAGATGGATATAGATTGGATCTTATTTGTAATTGGTCGGATTGTTTGTTTTTCACTTTTCTTCCCTTTGATTAGATTGAATGGCATTGAAAAGTCTCCAGAGCAACCAACATTCCACCGAGTATGTCATCCAAATTGCCAAACACCCCTAATAATGGAAGAACAAAATGGACAACAGGTGATAATTAATATCTCGTACAAAATTGAGAAATTCAAAACACAGCCCTGTTTATCAGTGTCCTTTTTTTTTTTTCTGTGAAATAATTTAGAAAAGGAGCCAAGGGATTGATGAACAAACTCTTTAAATATTGAATCTTACTATCTGAATCGTTGTACTAATAACTGGAGATCATTAGATGGTAATTTAATTGGAGATCATTAGATGGTAATTTAATTGGAGATCATTCAAAAGGACGTCAAGTCCAAGACAATCTACATGAACTTATATAAAGCTGACCAACAACCCCCGTCAAAATGTATAGTTTTATAAAGATTTGAACTCTAAATTAATAAATGTACAACCCATCTCCTATATCATTTTATTTATTTATTTCCAGGATTTCCATTTGCATGTAGTAACAATAGCGATAAAATTATTCGGATATAATTCTCTAGTTAGATGTACTAATATTACCATATTTAATCCATATTGGATTCTTATGTATAAAGTATCATTTCACTCTAGCAAATGAATATAATAATATTTAAGTATAGTCATAACAAAATTTATAACAAAGTTTTCTTATTAGATAATAACCCTATATAGTTAATCTTCAGTGGAAATGTTTTAAAGTTTTTTTTGGTGCGCACCAAAAGTTGGTATCGGCTATTAGCTCCACCAAAAACAAAAATTAAAAGTTATAACTAGTCAGTAGCCTTTAATTCACACCTTACAAATTTCAAGACGTTCGCACTTCAAATTGATTAATATGTACAATAAAACTTCTCTATAGTGATACTTTATATAGAAATAACCCTCGTGTAATCATAAATAATTTTAATCCAACTTGGGCTAGTTGTAAATAAGAATAAACTTCAGGTCTTATCAAATTTGTCTCCATATAGTACTAATTATTTGTATATTGCAAAAATAATATGTACTTGTTTTTTGAAACTTTGTCTATTTCTTTTATCAATGTTCATACCATGGATTTGACATATTCTATTAATTAACTATTAACATAGTGTATATTTTACCTTCATACCACTTACACTAATTATACCTCTATTAATTTATAAACTTCTTATATTAATAAAATTATTTTGGTGTCACCATTATAACTATAGACGGACTTATTATATATATATTAAAATTCATGAACACAAATAAAGATTCTAAAATTTTTAACATGTGATGTGATTTTTTATGAAGTCAATATATGATCATGGCCATTTGCATAAAGTTATATATAATTTAGTTAATTTATTCAGGAAGTGGGAGGAGAATTTGCATTTGCAAGTTGTAGTAATAATGGAAAAGATTTATAATTTAATTATAACATAAGACAAGTGCAAGAGGGTTGAACAATATTGCCTGGATTGAATGAATTTGAGTATGAGAAAATTGATTAATTAATTTTTTATTGCAGATTGAGTTTAAGTAAAGTAGGAAAAAACAAATGAATAAAATGAAGTAAACGCATTAATTAAGAGATCCAGAATTGGAGGGTCAACTATCTTCATTGAAAGAAGAACAAAATATTTACCATTTTATCTTAATAATTTTTTTTAATATATGAAAATTCTAAAGCTAAATCCTAAGTTATAGAAATTTGATTTGGGTATACAAATTAAATGACTTATTGACTAAAATGTACAACAAATAATCAACTTCAGTTTTGACTAACCAAATATTTGTTTCAAATAATCATGAACTACAATATTGATGAACCTCTTTTTTATTTTTTTATTTTTTTTTTAAAGATTAAGTTAGAATTTAATTCTGGGTATTTTTTAAATTATTGTCTTAATCATATATCTGATTATTAACTTTATTTTTGACTAACAAGACATTATTTCAATTAATCACCCATTGGCTAAAATGTACAAAGGATAATAAATTAACTTTTCTTTTGACTAACCTAAGATTTATTTCAAATAATTAACATTATTAAAATTTTCAAAGGACAGTTCAAATTAATATTTATGAACGTGTAAAAATAAGTTTTTTTTCTAAATAATTAAAAATGATAGTTACATTTTCTTTATTAATCTGCCAACCTTTAATTAATTTATTTAACAAATTTTTTGAAATTAAAAAAATTGTCATTGTGGAAATATAAATAAGTGATATAAATACATAGTTATCCAAAGCTGACTTGAAATAAAATAGAATAATGAAGCAGTTTTGGCCATTTTGGTAGCTCTTATAAAAGCCATTAATTCAAAGCACCTTACTATTTATTATTTTTAACCAAATCACCAGTTCTTCATTAATTCAACATTTCTAATTTTTTGTTTTTTTTCTTTTTCTAAAGGGAAGAAGAATTAATTTAATTCATAATTAATTCAAGCAACCCATATACCTCCAATTAATTATGAACTAATAGGATGATTTGATTGGCAATTTGGTTTAATTTTGTGTTGTAAATTCTATCTATTGTCAAACAAATCATATGGGTTCAATAAATCAACCCATCTAATTCATTAAATCATTTTCAAAAACATTTTCGAAAAATATAAAAAACATTATGGCAGCTTTGTAAATGAAATAGGGAAAGACTTTTAAATTGTTTTCATTGTTTCAAATATTATTTAGGGGGAAAAAATCATAAAGCATTTTGAGTTTTTTGATATTTTAATTTACCTACATAAGTAATTTTAGTTTAATTATGAAAATTACTAAGATTATGAATAAGTTATTATAATGAACATATTAAACACATTATTATTATTCGAAGCACTAATTCTTTTAAAAAGTTGATAAATACATTTTCGAATCTTGAACATATAAAAATTAGTTGTCCTATTCATATATTCAAATATATTTTCCAAAATCAAATTCAAAAAAATAGTTGCTTAAAATGAATACACTATTATCTTTAGAAAAAGAAAAATAAAATTTTAAAAATATCAGAATGAAATCTTATGATATTTTGATTTCAATCTAATGATACAATTTAAACCACAAAAATTAAAAAATAAAATAAATGAATAATTATCCAAAAGGGTTTCTAGAATTATTGTTATTAATCAAACCTATAGCTAGATGATACCATAGAATAAAGCAAATGAAAATGACAAGAGAAAATGTTTTCATTTTCAAAAACAAATAAATAAAATTTATTTTCTTTTTATTTCTTTACATTGGAACAAGAGTTGTTAAGACATTTTTGTCAAAGTAACTAAAAATATTGTCATTTCCCTTTCTCTTATACAACACCTAGATTGATGAGAAATCTATACATATTTATAAATATAAAAAAAAAAATTCAAAATATCCTGATAAACCCATGAATAAAATAAATTAAAACAATTTATTTTTAGTAAAATAGGTGGGTAAATTACAAAGAAAGTATCTATGAATAATATAATTGAAGTAATTAATTAGGTTGTTAGATATGAAATTATAATAGAAAATAGAGCATAAAATAATTAAACGGAGTACCAAATCATAAATGAAACGCTCTTCTAATACAATTAATTATCCCTCATGGGGATAAGTGATGCTGATAGCATCATCTAAGCAAAAGTCAATAAACATTTCATAAAATTAATTAAATAATTAAATCAAATTAAATTAAATTCATAACACATCATCTTCTGTTGTTTAATGTTAGGGAGGTCCTACTGTGGTCATTTGCTCATGTATTCTTATGTTTCTGTTTCCAAAATCCATATAAAAAAAATTGAAAAATAAATAAATAAACAAAACAGTATGGATATTTTAAACAAGGGTTTAATTGTATACAGTAAATAGTACCATTATCCATACAATAGTACTAAAAGTAATGCATTGTACTAGAAGAGAGAAGGGTTCCAATGTTAATGTGTGTATTTGGTTTGTTGTGTTTCTAGAGTGTGTTGGTAATAAATATTTTGTGGTGTTAATGGAAATATAAAATTTGCAGTTGGATATTTTAAATAAGGGTTTAATTGCAATACAACTTTTTGATTGGTTGCTATTTAATTTATTGGCGTTTGATATTAAATTCATTCATAGGTGGTAATGGTATTGGTGTTTTTTTCAAACTGGGTTTTAGCCATAAAAGCCGTTGGGTTCACAGCACTTAAACACCGACTCCAAGCAATGAATGAATGCTTTTGCTTTTGCTGCACTTTGTAATTGCAATATTTACTCCAATTTTCCCACATCTGCGTACTTCTTGGGATATTTCCTACCATTAATACGTTTCCTGCCCTCAATTTACACTCTTCTTCCACCAATACTTCAATTCAATTCTCTCTCCCTCCACCTCTTCCCCATAATTTAATTAAGCTTTAAAGAATCCCCCCCTCCCCATCTCTCTCCTTTCATTTCTCTTGTATATAATGCCCTTCTAACCTTCTAAACTAACAACCCCACAAATCAACACCTCTCATCTCTAACGGTGGTGGCGAAACCTCTTAAAGGTAATGTTTTTGTGTCATTCAATTATGGTATTCTCATAGCAATTCTATGCTTTGTGGTGGTGTTGTTTTCTAAATCAACATTTGTTGTGATATATTGCAGAAGGTTTTTAAAAAAAAAAAAAAAAAAATGAGTCGCAGAAATGGAAACGCGCCAAAACTAGAGCTGAAGCTGAACCTTTCGCCGCCGAGAGCTGACCGGAGAATGGATTCGCCAAGCCGATCAGCCACGGCGTCACCAATGTCCCCACTGAGCTCATGTGTGTCGTCAGAGAACCAAGATGACTCTCTTAGATATTCCAACAGTCCGGAGGCCACATCCATGGTGCTGGTGGGATGCCCCCGGTGCCTGATGTATGTGATGCTTTCAGAAGATGATCCTAAATGCCCCAAATGCAAGAGCACCGTTTTGCTTGATTTTCTTCACGACAACAACAACAAAATCACCACCACTGTCAAGACAAGGAAAAGCTAGAGTAGTAGGTCCTGGTATCTTTTGCTAATTCTGTCGTTCCTCCTAAGACTTATGTTATAGCCTTTTGTCTTTCTTTTTTTTCTTTTTTTTTTACTTTTAGGTAGTGCTATTAGTGTTCCGTTTTTCCTTATTCCAAATGCTCAAAAAAGAAAAAAAGAAAAACAAGATTAAAGAGCAAAGAGCAAAAAAGAAGGAGCGCCAATAGCACTGTTCTTTTGTTTTTTTTAATCTTTCTTCTAATCATATAACATAGAATATCGGCAATGGTAACGGTGTATGTTTTCTCTCTACGTTAAGCTGACTTTTCTCTGTATCAGGAGACTACATTAAACAAAAGGAAAATGTTATTCTTAAAAGACTCATTTAAAGAGAGTTACAAAATGACATCAACAAGAAGAAAAAAAATAAAGAAAAAACAAGAAAAGAGAAAAACATCATGAAAATTAAGGGTGATGATTATCTTTGTATATCCCTTTTATACGTGTCTTTGTTGTAAAAGCAGCATCGCTCTTAAACAAAATTAATAGCAGCCAACTGCCCAAATCTCTGTTAAAGCAGTGCAGGCAATTTCTGGGTTCAGTATAAAAGTAATTTCTGGGTTAGTAATAGTATTTACCTTGTATAAATACGAATGTGAGTGGACCATGACGCCGATTAACAGCCTATATAGAGTTCAGTTTGAACTGCAAACGAAGTAAAAAAAGGTAAATAATCAGCGAATTTACCTGACCCCGAAACATGGGTTAATTTGTCTCGACTCAAAAAGTACTTAGAGAAGCTGTTATAGAAGATAGCAATTGTATGACTTTGGCCCACATTGAAGTGATTGGTCCACACCAGGTTGGCATATAAACAAGAGCAATGATCCCCATGGAGCCAAACCGTTTTCACTCATGCACAACACCCAAATATGAGTCATCCTAATCAGACGACCATGCAAACTTCCTTAAAAGATAAAACTATTATCCTGGATAAGTAAAAATGCTCACTATAAGATTTTCTGTTTAAATATCTCAACTAAATTAACCAAACAATGATCATGATTATGCATTACAAGTCTAATGAAAATGCCAGACTGAGTAAAAGGCAGAAAAATCATCAAAGAAGAGATAAAGTAGCATGCATTAACATCAAGATTATAACAACGTAATGTAAAGATGTTTATGTTTAGGGAAGAAGCTGATATTGGAAAAGGGAAGGGGTACTGAGGTAAATGATAGACGAGGGAGTTGGGTAGTTCGTGCATTGAAAAAAAGGGGGACTATATTAGATTGAAAGACCATTAATAACACATAAATGCAATAGTAATTGAGACGGTTGAGAATAATGAGGGCATTACGTCAGATGATAAATACAAATTTAATTCCACCTTCGACCCTCCATTGTTCAATCTTTTCTTTGCCTTCGTTTTCACTCTCTTCTCATCACTCACTAAAAGCCACCTTTCTGGTGCCATCTCTATTTTGGTAACCCTCTTGTCCATGTTCTCCCCATTCAATTCTGTTTTATCTCTTTAGTCTTTCTTGACCCCTCTTTCTTAACTCACACCACATGGACACTTTCTATCTCACACACAAACACAAACATATCATTACTTCTGAATTTCACATTAAAAGGTTTTGGGAATATAAAAAATGACCTTATCCCACTTTATAATACTGATATTTTATAATAAATATTGCATATAAAATTATTATGTGCTAATGCCAATGTTGCTCTATAAATGCAATACTACGCTGTTCAAATAAAAATCACCAATCTGTTAGTTAACTGGTTTTCTTTTTTTTTCTTTTTTTTCTTTTCCCCAGTGGGGGCGGGGGCAAGAAAGCAAGTGGGGTTCCTGAGGACCTGGTTTAGATTTTGGAGCACCTTTAATGATGTACATAGTTTCCCATTAACATTTAACTAAAGAGCAAATTTTAGCAGCTTTAAAGTTGTATAGTGTTCATAGTTTACATGGTAATAAATAGTAAATTGCCCAACCCAACCTGAGTGATATAGATTCATTTGTCAACTGTTTTATACACATGCTTATAGCTTAAGTGGGTGCCCAAAGCCTAAATAAATGCCGTCAAGAAACAAGACTATTCAAATACATCATTTTACAAGGTAAATTACATAATTATATCACTCTCACACTCGCAATCCTATGTTTTTAGTAATTCAAAAATATCTACCCTTCAATTATTAAAACAATCTATGGTATAGCAGCAAATCATTATCATGATAGTCAGGGTAATTATAGACAGTCCCCCAAGAAATCTTTAAATTTTCTTCTCATCCATTATTCAATAGAACTATTAAAAGAACCCCTTCCTAGAGGATTTTGTAACCAAAAAGTTTTGTATTTGGTGGTGATTTTAATAGTTTCAAAAATATTGGGGGGTGACAAAATTTAAGGATGTCTCAAGTGAGGTCCATCATAATTTCCTCGTTAATAATAGAGTAAATGACTTTTTCCCACCCAAAGTTTGCCTTAATGACACTTTCCCACCCAAAAAAATTTAAAATACCACTTCCCCACCCAAAGTTAATATTCTGTTACTACCCAAAGCCGATTCCAGCAACGAAAATTCTCTCTGTTACCATCATTTTAACCTCCGATCTCCTCTCTACAAAATTCATCTCACTCTGACACTTGATTTATCGCTAATTGTTGGCCACCGCAAAGCTAGAGTTTCCTATTCTTAACTGATTTCTAGTTGGTTCTACCAACAAATATTTAATCAGTCACCACCATTCAATCTACCGGTCTTCACTCTACAAAACTCCTCTTACTCTGACTCCTAGTAACTCGCCGAACACCGATTGAGAAAGTGAAGTGTATTTGGGTATTAACATAATATAAACTTTAGTAGGAAAGTGGTATTTGAAACTTTTTGAGTGGAATGTTGTTAAGGAAAACCTTGGGTGGGAAAAAGTCGTTTACTCTTAATAATAATAGCATGCCACTGGCACACTTCTTCCTAGGTATGTGTCTGTGCCCACATATATATTTACCAAGACCTGTCCTCAACCTCCATTTTCGGAACACAAGGCTGTAGTATATATGAAAAGAGATGGAATAATTAAGTTCACCTGATCAAGTAAATCAGCTTCATAATCTTAGAAGAAAAAGGAGAGGCTGAGGATAGATTCTAGTTTGCATGAACCCACGAATTGCAGTGCAAAGTCATATGTTTAACTGAACAATAAGATTACTAAGAGGGTAACACAAAAAGACCTGCAAGGCTGCAACTAAAGATAAATTAAGTTTGACGGAATGGAAGCAAAACATTGAACATACTGTAAAAAAAGAGTTTAGTCATATATAAAACAATGGCTTCGGGTTCCTTTTTTCCCCCTCTCAAAAATTTGTCAACCCACAACCAGAACAGAAGCCCACCAGACTCTCTTAATTTTATTTAACAAGCATGTAACAAGAAAAACAAAACAGCATCAGTAACTGCATCAGAATTATCTGCTTCCAGTTAAAATGCTTGAAAGCAAATGTAGAGACAATAGTGCCTTATGGTAGCTCTGCATAGATATTACTTGGTTTTCACCCCTAAAATTAACTCTAGATAAAACTGTGTCATGTGGCTTCTCCACAAGGTTTATGAATTCTTAAAGTTCATATCGACTGCAATCTACGGAACAGAATACTTCTTGAACCTTGGTCATTAATGTGGATTTTTGCATACGAAAAGAGAATAAGAGCAAGCTCAGAATTAACATAAAAACCCACTAGATTGCCAGACAACAATGAGGATATATATATATTATATATATATATATATATTATTATATATATATTAAAATTCATGAACACAAATAAAGATTCTAAAATTTTTAACATGTGATGTGATTTTTTATGAAGTCAATATATGATCATGGCCATTATATATATATATATTTAGTTTAAATTTATTCAGGAAGTGGGAGGAGAATTTGCATTTGCAAGTTGTAGTAAATGGTAAAGATTTATAATTTAATTATACAATAAACAGTGCAAGAGGGTTGAACAATATTGCCTGGATTGAATGATTTGAGTATGAGAAAATTGATTAATTAATTTTATTGCAGATTGAGTTTAAGTAAAGTAGGAAAAAACAAATGAATAAAATGAAGTAAACGCATTAATTAAAGATCCAGAATTGGAGGGTCAACTATTCTCATTGAAAGGAGAACAAAATATTTACCATTTTATCTTAATATTTTTTTTAATATATGAAAATTCTAAAGCTAAATCCTAAGTTATATTAATTTGGGTATACAAATTAAATGACTTATTGACTAAAATGTACAAATAATCAACTTCAGTTTTGACTAACCAAATATTTGTTTCAAATAATCATGAACTACAATATTGATGAACCTCTTTTTTTTTTTTTTTTTTAAAATTAAGTTAGAATTTAATTCTGGGTATTTTTTAATTATGTCTAAATCATATATCTGATTATACTTTATTTTTGACTAACAAGACATTATTTCAATTAATCACCCATTGGCTAAAATGTACAAAGGATAATAATTAACTTTTCTTTTGACTAACCTAAGATTTATTTCAAATAATTAACATTATTAAAATGTTCAAAGACATTCAAATTAATTTTTGATGAGTGTAAAAAAGTTTTTTTCTAAAATTAAAATGTAGTACATTTTCTTTATAATCTGCCAACCTTTTTAATTTATTTAACAAATTTTTTGAAATTCAAAAATTGTCATTGTGAGAATATAAATAAGTGATATAAATACATAGTTATCCAAAGCTGACTTGATAAAATAGAATAATGAAGCAGTTTTGGCCATTTTGGTAGCTCTTATAAACATTAATTCAAAGCACCTTACTATTTATATTTAAACCAAATCACCAGTTCTTCATATCAACATTTCTAATTTTTTGTTTTTTTTCTTTTTCTAAAGGGAGAAGAATTAATTTAATTCAAATTAATTCAAGCAACCCATCTACCTCCAATTAATTATGAATATGGATGATTTGATTGGCAATTTGGTTTAATTTTGTGTTGTAAATTCTATCTATTTCAACAAATCATATGGTTCAATAAATCAACCCATCTAATTCATTAAATCATTTTCAAAAACATTTTCGAAAAATATAAAAAACATTATGGCAGCTTTGTAAATGAATAGGGAAAGACTTTTAAATTGTTTTCATTGTTTCAAATATTATTTAG